GAAAGAGCCTTTAAGAAGGGGGATAGCCATTCTGGGGCCCCCACCCACCTCCCCTGATATGCAAGGGGAAAAGGGGCCTGCACTAGAGCTGAGCAAAGGGGTTCCTGAGGCCCAGAGAAAGTACTTGCCCCAGCGGGCGCTGCACCCTCCCAGGGCCAAATTTAGCCGGGACTTAGAAAGAAGCCAGCCTGGTCTGCGTATTAAAGGGCCTGTGACACTCTGAGCCTATGCCGTCAGACCCACCCTGGCCTAGGACACCTCACCCTTCTGAGCTCCCAGCCCCCACATCCCGTGGCTCAGTCTCCAGCCCCAGTTCCCTGGAACCCCACAGCCGCAGCATGAACACCACAAAGTCCTTCCGACTCCTGCCTCACCCCTGAGACAACTCCCCTGAGGAACTTCCTTTACTTCTATGCATGTCATCACCGCTAAATTCCTCCCCCTCATCCTGGGCCTCTCCCTGAAGAAGGCCCCAACTTGCCGGCAAGGAGAGGAATCCAGATCAGTGCGGCTGCCATGGTTGCCCAGGCCTGGCCAGCCCTGTGAGTGACAGAGACAGGAGCAGGGAGGAGGGGTGGGAGGAGGGATGGGGAGGTGTCCCAAAGCAGCTGGGCCCCAGTGAGGCGCTCCCCCTCCCCACCCAGAGCAGGCCCTGAATCTAGGGTGGACACCCTCCTCACGTGACAAGGTCCTTCCAATCAGCCCTCTCCAGTGGCCAGAGTAGTTTTCTAAACCACCAACCTGACAACCTTAGGCTCCCCTTAAAACCCTAATGTCTCCCACTGCCCTGAGTGCCCTAGCTGCTGGTGGCCTTCAGACCCTTCCTGTACTTGGCCATACTGCCCAGATAATCCCCTCCTCTACCCCGACAGCACACACACATACACACACACACACACACGCACACGCACACACGCACGCACACACGCATGCACACACACACACTGCCCCAGGCTTCAGCCCAGCCTCACTCTGCTGTCCCCTGACCTGACACTCTCTCCTGGGTCTGCTCACCTTTGCCCAAGCTGTGCCTTCTGCTTGGACTTCCCTTCCTGCCCTCATCCATCAGGTAAACTTTCACTCACCCTTCAAAACTCAGCAAAGGCATTCCATCATCCCCGAAGCCTTTCTGTCCTGCCCTAGGCCAAGCTGGGTAGCCCTGAGCCCCTGTGACAGCCCAGCCACACCACTTTCTAGGGTGGACTAGGATCTTATTAATTTTAGATCCCTGGACCTGGGCCTGACAACTAGTACGTGTAGGGGGCTAGATGACAGCTTCCTCAACAGCACACAAGGGCCCCATTCACCCAGCCCTTATCCCCAGACCAAGCACTCCCAACGCATGCCCTAGGTATAGAAGAGAGCGGTCTGGACAGGACCAGCCAGGAAGAGATGGTGGGGAGTGGGGCACAGGCTCGGAGGCCTGCAGGCCTGGACATGACTCCACCTTGACCACTTACCGGAGATGTGGCCTTGGAAGAGTCAATTGCCTTCTCTAGGCTCTGTTTCCACAACTACAAACTGGCAAGAATAGTGCCAATCTCTTGGTGTCCTTGTGTAGCACCCACAAAATCACGACTTCAGCATGTGTTAATGGAGCACCTACCATGTAGCAGGCACTGAAGATGCAGAGGTGAGCAGACCCCTGCCCATGTGGGGCTTGCACACTGGCGGGTAATGACAGCTAGCTCCTGCCTCCTACATGCTGATGGTTTGACATATATTTATGTGGAGTAACTCATTCCATCCCACAGCAGTTCCATGAAGCAGGTGTTATCATATTATTATTGTCCCCATTTCACAGATAAGAAAACTGAGGCACAAGGGCTGTAAAACTTCCCCAAGGCCACACTACTAACCAGCTGAATGCATGTAAAGCACTCAGCCCAGTCCTGACTCAATCTATGGCACCACTTCCCCTTCCTTTCCGCATCAGCCAAAGGATTCTAGTCCAGGTGTGAAAGGGTCGGGGTGCCCTCCTCCCTGGAGACTTCCCACTCAGAGCAGGCAAAGGGGCACCCTCCCCAGATGCCTTGAGGAGGAGGCAGGGGCCTATGGATACCAGTGTTCCAAAATTCTTGGTGTCTGTGTGAGCATCCCTCCTGACCTTGAAACAAAGGGCGTTGCCACCTCACCTCTATAACCGAACACCCAGGCAAAGACATCTGGGACCTGCTCTGGGTCAGGCCTGAAGGGGTGAGTATTGGCCCATAGATTGGGGTGCCTGGTGAGCAGGTTTCTTAGTCCTTGTCTCTTCCTCTTTCTCCCCACATGATGGTCCCACCCGTCCCTGGACAGCCAGCAAATTCCAGAGTTAGCATCCATTCAGGCTCTTGGGCAAGGCGGTGTTTGTCCCAGAATCACCTTAGCACCTCTCTGCCTTCTCAGAGATGGAAGGCAAGAGGGAGAAAGGTTCTGGAGGCAGATGGAAACTCAGAGGGCTCTAGGGAAGCAGGCAGAGGTGCCAGGCCTCAGCCCCTCAGCAGCACCATGTGACTCCCTCCTGCCCCCCTGCTGCTTCCCCCTGCTATTTTTAGAGCCACCCACTCATATCCTCAGCTGTCTTAAGGTGGCAGTGCCCGAACCCAGTGCCACCAAGCCCACAGAAGCCAGTCTTCCTTACTGATCCCTCTCTGCTTCCCCAAAACCAGAGGAAACAGAGACTATGTCAGGAACCAGCTGGAAGTCCCCTGAAAGTCTCCTCTGGCCCCTCAGGAAACCTCCCCACCTCACAACTAACTGTCTGAATTGCAACCTGCTGCTGTAACACTCAGCATCTTCTACTCGTTGGGGCCTGGAATGTAGGGAGGAGCGTCACAATGTCTTTAAATGTATTTTAGAAATTTTTGAAATAAGACAAAAGTATACAGATTAACATAATGAGCCCCCATATATCCATCACCCAGCTTCAACAATCAACTTATGGCCAGTCTCATTTCATCTATACCTCTTTCAATTTTTCCCTATTTCATTGCCTCTGTCAATATTCCAGTGTGTACCTTTGAAAGAGAATGATTCTTTTTTAACATAATCACAATTATTATACTTAATCACACAATGAGACCTCAAAGTTAATAATAATTCCTTAATATAAGACCTCTAGTGTTCAAATTTCCAATTTCTCATAAATGTCATTTTGTTTTATTTATTACAATTTGTTTGAATCAGGATTCGTATAAGGTGTACACATGGCAACTGATTAACAGGTCTTTTTAAAATCTCTTTAAATCTGTAAGTTCCTGCTCTAACGTTCTCTCTTATCTCTCTCTCTCTCTCTCTCTCTCTCTCTCTCTCTCTCTCTTCTTAAAGGAACCAGGTTATTTGTTGTGTAGTTTTCCACAGTCTGGATTTTGCTGATTGCATCTCTATGATCTTCTTTCCTGTGTTCCTCTGACCTCTGTACTTCTTGTAAATTGTATTTCCTGTACATTGTTATTTCCCATAAACCGTAGTTGGATGAAGAGTCCTGATCAGGCATAAGTCCCACTTTCTTTGGCAAGATCACTTCATAGGTGATGGTATCACTTCTTCCATTCACGGGCACAGCAGCCATTGATGCTCTCAGTGCCTCATCCATCCACTCTTTTTTTTTTTTTTTTTACAAAATGGTGATATTCAAATTCAATCACCCCTTCTTTTATTAGCTGGAATAATTCTAGACAAAAAAAACTGCCCCTCACTTACTATTTGGGTACTGAGCGGTATACAGCACATATAGGAAAGACAGCATAAATGTTTGACTCTGTTCCTGTATTTACTAATTTCCAAATAATAAGTTGGTTCCCTAGCACCCTCCAAATTGTGACCAATTAGCTTTTTTGAAAAATTAGTAGTATAATTATAAATTTATGGCTTTAAACACATTTGATTGCTTCATTCCATTGCTACTGGTATCCCTTCTAGTGCTAAGTTGTCCCATCTTGAGCTCTGCTTTGGTCGTCACCTGTTGGAGCATCCATCTGGGGGAACTGAAAGGTCAGGTCTCTGCATCTCAGCCTTGTTCCCAAAAGCCCAGCCCTGGTTTCCCTTTCCTCTGCTTCACTCCTGCAACCCCAAGCCCTGCCCTCAGCTACCTGGGTCTCTATCCCTGCTACACTGCCATCTCCACCTGCCTCTCTAGCTTTCTGTCGGATCTCTGCCCGTCAGTGTCTCAGTTTAATCCCTCTGGTTCTTTGTCCCTGTCTCTCTCCATCTCATCGAATGTTTGCTGAATGAATGAGTGATTGATTGAATGCATGCCTCTTCTCCCCCAATTCTCTCATCCCACTTCCGTATCTATGAATCTGTCTTTTGATCCCTGAAGGCCATATTTTCATCGTCTGCATCTAAAACGGAGGATTATATGTTGTCATGAAAGACAAAGGAAAGAGAGTCTTGTCGTTGTGATCTGATTGTCGCATCTGCCTCCCAGACCCCACCCACATCTTTCTCCTCCAGCCTCCTCGCAGCCCCCAGAGCAACAACAAAGGGTGCGAGCTGTCAGTCCGCCACAAGAGGGCGCGTTCTCTGGCTCCAGCCAGGACCTGCGCCTGCGCAGTTTTGGGGCGGGGCGGGGGTGGAGAGGCGGGTTGGCGGCGGAACGCCCCGCCCCGGGTTGGGGATGCGCGTCAGAGATTCGCGCTGTGCTCGGCGATTCCAGAGGGAGTCGAGTTGAGGGGAGGAGGGGTCCCGCACCCTCTAGCAGTACCTCGTCCTCCCCTTCCGGGTCCAGAGGATGTTCTTCCAAACAGAGAGGGGAACCAGCATGGAGGCAGGAGGCTGGATACAGTGCCCTCTTCCTCACCACCTATATCAGCCCTCAGACACCCAAGGACATTTCCTCCCCTCCCCACATTTGGGAGCACCAGCCTGAGGACCTACGTGTACCCAGAATCATCCTCCCTTCTTATTGGTAGACTTCAGCCCTCAAAGGGGTGCCTTGAGTCATGATTCTGAGAATGCCAGACCATCCCGGGCCAAACTTTTTAGCTTACAGGAGAAACAAGAGGAAGGAATGCCTGTGGTCCCACAGTACAGAATTCTCACAGTAGGTCTCTGGATGTGGGGCCCAGAGCCCTTTCCACCGAGACATTCCCTCTCTGTAAAGAGAGGGCAATAAGGATCGACGAGGTAATGGAAGCGAAACTGCTTTGTAAACTGTAAAGCTCTGGAGAAAGTAAGGGGTCTTTTATTTATTTATAACCAACAGTGCAAGGCAGTAGCTGTCCAAGGCCAGCCCACTGGTTCAGCCTGAGAGCTGGGAGAAGACAAGTTTTGAAGCCGCCACTCAGTAACAGGATTAGGAAAGTAAAAGAAACACTCTCTGACATTTTTTGCAGATGTATGATTTATATAGACAATCCAAGAGATTGTACAGGCATGTTACTGAGGTATTACGAGAGATCAGCAAGGTTGCTGGACAGATTAATATCCCAGTACAGGTAAAATACAAAATTCAACAGTGTTTCTATACATGAGCAATAATTTATTAGAAACTGTAATATCTTTTTTAAAAGAAATAATTTACAATAAAATTGAAATTGTACAGAACTCAGAAAAAAGCTTAGACATTTAAAGATATTTGGGA